CTGCCGCTGCCACCGCCGTCCGAGCTAATGCGCGACAGAGTCGGACGCCGACGTGCCCAATGGTCTGGTGAGCGGCAAGAACCAAGAGGGATATTATATTACGATGATTCAAATGTCATAAACTCCCTGAATCCAGTGCAGCTGGTACGGTTTTTTACGCCAGATGACTTCCATTGTAGAGCAGCTTGGCCCTAAGAAATGAAATGGCAACGCAGCATGTGCACAGTATATGGTAGGAAGACAACAAGAGGCATGTTTGGTTAACAGTTGTAATGGGCGCAGTTGATGCTGGGGCCTCAATAACAATAGTAATGAGAGTACAGAACTTGAGTCGATCATTAGAAACGGCGGGAATGGCTAGGTGAAAAGCTTAAGACGTTTAACCAGGAGGCCTCTCTGACTCGAGTATACGAACGCAGCCTCGCCCATTGCCACGATGACTTAGCCGTCAGCCAGACAGAGGGGCAGAGGCTAAGAGCAGGGGGGGCATTTGAAGTATTCATAGCTCATAACAAGCGGCACGCTGATTGTATACCGAGTAAAATTATATCATATTGCGGTGGCGCCGGTGGAAAAACAGATCAAGATTTGCAACTTCGCAGGTGGACCTAATAGCAAAGGCGGAGGAGATGCATCTAAGCAGCCGTCCAGGCTCCGCTACGGCTATTCGTTGGAGAATATCTCTCGCTTCTACCTTCCCGGGTCCCATGTCAAAATTGAAGGCCTTCCCTATGCGCGGCGCATTGCCATTTTTTGTCTCCGGTCTGAACAGAGCGAAGAGATTATCCCGCGCTTGTGCCAATTTACCACCGATTTCTGCCGCGCGTGTTTCCCCTCAGTTTCCGACCGGCCGGTTTAGCGCGCTTGCCCGAGAGGGGAATCAGGCCGTGCCCATCCTCATTTTCAATTTCACCACCCGCTTCAAGGGCCCCCCCACCCCCCCTCTCCCTTTGCCCCCTCCGTTTCCGCGCGCCGCCGGCCCCGATTTTCCTTATGCCCGCGCCCCTGCCCTTCCCGAACCCAGCGATGGCTTCTCGGGGTCCATTTGACACGTCGGCCAGGAAGGCGCGGCAGCCTTTGCCGCGGCCCTGGCCCTTGCGTTCGGCGGCCCTCCAGACGCGGCGCGTGAGCGCGCGGTTGCTTGAGGCGCGCCGTCGTCGCACGGCGCGCCCGAGGGTCCGGAAGAGGCGCGCGCCACGTCGCCCCGCTGGAACGTCGCGGAGCTAGGGGTCGTTGGCAGCAGCATCTTCGCTGGATGAGCTGATGGCGTCGGAGCCCGCGCCCGAATCGACGGCAGCCGTCGGGCGCGCCGCCTCGCCGGGAATGCCGCGCCAGGGTCGGCGGCGGCAGCGGCCGCAAGTGGACTGGGCGCCGCCCCCAGGGCAGCGGGGCCCGCGCCACATTAGCTCGACCCATCCGAAGTGCCACGCGCACACTGGGCCCGATCGTGGGCGGGCGCGCCCGCGAGGATAGCGCGGCGGTGGGTCGCGCGAACGGCCGGGGGCGGCGAGCCCATCGACCGCGTGCCAAAGCCGTCGCAGCTGGCCAGTCATGCGCGACAGCGGTCGGGCGTTCGCGGGAAGGCCACGCTGCGGCGCTGCATGACCATGGCGAACTTGATGTTCAACGCGCCCGTCGCGCGCAGCAAGGAGAAACAAGGCCCCTCGCAGCCGGTCGCGAATCGACCGCCCCGCGGCGCCCTGTAGCAGAGGATGTCAAGCCCGGCGAGGAGATGCGCCCCCGCGGAAATCGTCAAGGCCATCAGGGCCGATGCCGCTCAGGCGCGCCCCGCGCTGCCCAGCTGGCCCCGCCGCGCGGCCAGGCTGAGCGCTGGGCCACGGGCGGCGCTGGGTTGCCGTCGACGCGGGCCCCAGGATCAGGATAGCCGGCGGACCTCGTCCACGCACTCGCGCGGCCGTGACAGCGAGGCAAAACCAGACGTAGGCCGCTTGGCGGAACTAATGGAAATCGGAGTTCATCACAGACCAGATCATGACCCCCGCGCCCAGCGTCGAGGGGCACGCCGCGAACTTGCTGCTCGGGCCCTCATGCGCGGCGGCGTCGCGCGCTGCCGCCACGGCCTCCGCCGGGGCCCCTGCAGGCGATGCAGCTGGCGACGGTGACCATGCCCGCTCCGACGGTCTTCCCTCTGAAGTGGGCTCCCCTGCGTGCATCGAGGAGGTGCTGGAGTCCTGTCCTGGACCCACCATTGGCGCTGCTCGAATAGAGTGCCTCGAAGCAGTCGTGGGCATCTACCCCGGGCATGCTCTTCCTCGCCAGCGTCTTGGGCACGTTCCTATGTCGCGCAGTTGGGGCGCGATCGGCACCCAGGAGCACCCCACAACGCAGTCGCGGGAAAGCTAGCTGCGCGTCGCGCCGCCACTGAACTGGGCACCACCAACTACAATCTACTCAAAGAGCCAAGTGTGCTAGATAGCAGAGGCTGCGCAGGACATCCAAGTCTGCCAGATAGCAGAGAGTGCGCGAGTGATGCGGAAGGTCCGGCTCCGAGAGATGATCGACGACGAAGGATATCAGGTTCGACTCGCGGTGCCCCAGAATGCTGACAACATAGTCTTCAGAACCTCCAATCGATTTTCGCTCAGTTCTGGCTGGATCCCCCCTGGCTTTGGCAACGTAGTCACCAGGTGCTCGGGACGCTTCGCCGATATCGGAGATGCGAACGCAGGACCAATCGATGGTCTACCCTCGGCTAGACCCACAGGCGGCTGCAATGGAGACGACCTGTTCGATGCAATTTTATCCGAAGGCTCCTGCAACACAGGTCGCAAGGAGTTCGGGGCCCTTGGCCAGCACCGAAGATGCGAACGTTGTGCCAAGCAACTGTCCGACATCTGACGTTACACTCACATGCGACTGCATCGAGGGCGTCGGGTCCACGAGCTGTTCGGATATAGTCTGCGCCAACCCCGGAGAATGAGCCGAGAGTGGAGGCGGCAAGGGGCCGCGGTCCTTGTAGCCAATGCTCTCGTGATGGTATGTGTGCGTTTTCCGCGTAACGTTTCCTGGCGGCTGGGCGGGGTCCGCCCTGATGGTCCCAAGAGAGACGCCGCCTGCCGGGATGACCGGATAGAAAAGCACGAACATGATGAACGGGTGAGCACGGCGAACACGGGGACCTGAAACAGGTTGTCCTGAATGGTCTTGACGAACACGATGGAGAGTGGGCGCGATTGCCATCGAAGCAGGGCAACGAGAAAATGCCATGCACACCATGGAGGCGCGTGGAAAAGGAGCGGAAATCCGCTACCAACTATAAACAAAAGGATCATGGCATGATGTTCCCCAATCAGAGTTTGCCTCTGTAGGGGTCCTACCGGGTTCATCGAGTTCTGCGGCCCGCCCGAGTGCCTTACAACCCTGTAGCCCCGCTGCCCTAGAGCCCTGTAACCCCATAGCCCTATAGACGCATAGCCTTATAGCCCTATAGCCCCATAGCCCAATAGACCCATAACCCTATAGTCATATAGCCCTATAGCCCTATAGCCTTGTAGCCTTATAGCCCCATAGCCCTATCGCCCTAGAGTCCTATAGCTCTATACCCCTATGACCCTATAGCCCTGTAGCCCTATCGTCCTAGAGCCCTAGAGCCCTATAGCCCAACAGCCCTATAACCCCATAGCTCTATATACCTATAGCCCTATAGCCCAACAGCCGCATAGCCCTATATCCGAATAGCCCTATAGCCCAATAGCACTATGGCCGTATAGCCTATAGCCCTATAGCCCCATAGCCCCATAGCCCTACAACCCTACAGCCCTATAGCCCTATGGCCATCTATCCCTATAACCTTATAGCCCTATAGCTCTACAGCCCTATGGTCATATAACCCTCAAGTTCCATAGCCCTATAGCCCCATAACCCCGTCGCCCCCATAGCCCTGTAGCCCCAAAAAACTGTGATTGGATTTCCCTCCGGCATCATGGTATTGCTCAGTACACCGAATACGAGATGGAACGTTTAAAACTACTCGAATACAAGTCTCATGCGGGCACGGAAGAGATCTTGTGAGCCCGAACTGGCCACGGAAAGGGACAGAAAAGGCAGGCAGCATATACAAGGATACCCCTCGAGTGGGGGAGGTAGGAAGAGAGAGGAGGAGAGAAGGGGAAGAAAAAACTGGGGGAGCAGGGGGAGAGGAACGGAAGGAAGGACGAGGAGGAACGCGTGAATCGTTCCCTATTCCCTCCTTTTTCCCTCCCTCCCCCTCTCCCACCCTCGCAGCCCCCACCCCTCCCTTTCCCGATCCCAAACCCTATTATCCTTCTCCGTCATTGTGCTATCCTCATATTCCTTCCTCCTCCTCATATTCCTTCGTACTCCTCCTCCTCCTCCTCCTCCTCCTCCTCCTCCTCCTCCTCCCCCTCCCCCTCCTCCTCCTCCTCTTCCTCCTTCTCCTCCTCCATCGTCCGCCTACGTCACCTTCTCCGCCTCCTCCTCCTCCTCATCATCACCATCGCCACCACCACCACTATCATCATCGTCATCATCATCATCATCATCATCATCATCATCATCATCATCATCATCATCATCATCATCATCATCATCATCATCATCATCATCATCATCATCATCATCATCATCATCATCATCATCATCATCATCATCATCATCATCATCATCATCATCATCATCATCATCATCATCATCATCATCATCATCATCATCATCATCCGCATCCGCGACGTCGTCATCAGCATCATCAGCACCATCATCTTCAGCATCCCATCCTCACCCCGTCATCATCAGCATCCCCACCATCACCCTCACCAGCATCATCAACAACAAGAACAGCAATAACAATATCAGCATCAACGTCATAATAATCACCATCAGCAACGACATCATCATCATCCTCCTGCTCCCTTCTTCCTCCTCCCTGGCAGGTGCACGTTCGTCCACGCACTGGTGGCAGGGCCTGCGCGGCCGGCCTCCTGCGGGCGCCTGTCCCTGATCCGTCCCTCCGGCCGGGCCGCCTGGATCAAGTACGGCATGCAGAAATCCATCATGCCGTTGCGCCACGCGAGCTCCAGCGCCACGTCTGGGCGCACGAGGTCGTAGCACGTGTAGAGGCACGCGGCGAAACACTCCTCGCGAAGAAGCGCAGAAGAGGACAGGACAGGAACGCATTGAGAGGTCGACGTCGACACCTACAAAGAAGCTCTGAGCACGACTCGCAAAAAATCCCCTGCGATGAGATGATGCCGCAGACCCAAACGTTCCATGGGGGCCAGGTGGGGGCAGACCCCATAGCTTCAAGGGGCGAGCTCTGAGGTGGCCCCGTAAGAGAGGCTCGCTACCCTCCGCTCGCCGAGGGCCGCCCTGCGCTCGCCTCCGGGGTGCCCCAGGTCTCCTGGGGAGGGGAGGGAGGAGGAGGACAGAGGAGGAGGAGGAGGAGGAGGAGGAGGGAGGAGGAGGAGGAGGGAGGAGGAGGAGGAGGAGGGAGGAGGAGGAGGGAGGAGGAGGGAGGAGGAGGAGGAGGAGGAGGAGGAGGAGGGTCAGTGCGGGGGCGCAGCTGTTGGCCCCCTCGCGCGCCCGTGACACCGGGGACGCGCCCGGCCAGCAGGGCCCCCGAGCAAGAGGGGGAGAACGACGACGCGGCCTCGCTCGACGCAGGGCGGAAAGCGGAAGGATGCAGGAGGCCCTTTCGTGCCAAAAGGTTTGCTGGGGGAGCCAACTTGCACTCTGCCCACGATCTGCTGCGCTCACACTCCTCACACCCTAACAAGGAGTCTCTCTCTCTCTGTCCCTCTTTCTCCTCTCTCTCTCTCTTTCTCTCTCTCTCTCTCTCTCTGTCTCTTTTTCTTGTTTTCTCTCTCTCTTTCTCTCTCTCTCTCTCTCTCTCTCTCTCTCTCTCTCTCTATATATATATATATCTCTCTCTATTTCTCGTTATATTGTTCTTTCTCTTTCTCTATGTTGTTTGTTTTCTCTCTCTCTCTCTCTTCAGGATCACTTCTCTTCCTGGGCGCGCTGGCCGTCGGCTGCCCCATGCAATGTATCATTCCACATGTACTTTGACGTGCCCCCTCGGTTCGGCGCGTGAGTAAGGGCGAGCATACCTATTGTCGTCACGGCGTGTAAGAGGCTCTTATTTTTCCCATGTCTGTCAGCCCCCCCCCCCCCCTGTCGTTTCGAATGAGGGTGGGCCCTTAGGGATGCGCTCCAGCGGCCTTTGTGGTGGTCTCGTTTTCCACTCGTCGCCCAGTGCAGTAGCAGTAGCGCACCTGTCGGCACCCCGCAAAAAATCCCAAGACGCCATCTGCGCGAGCTGTCTCCTGGGGGTCCTCACGCAAAGATGCCCCCGCTAGTGATGGCCCCCCTGGGCCCATCCTGCCTGCCTGCAGTCGCGCTCCGAGATATCCTGGCTAGTGCTCCTCTTGCCGCTGCAAGTGGCCCCCCTCGCGCGCGGCCGCCGGAGCTGGCCGCTTCACCTGACTCGGCGCACCTCTGGAAGATCCCTGCGCCGTCCAACAGGGTCTTCGTGCTGTCCCGGAACTGCTGACGTTTCTCGAGCCTCTCGACCTCCTCCTGCCGCTTCTTGCAATCCTCGCCGAAGTCCTTCTTCACCTTGCCCACTCACCCTTTCATGAGCTCGTCTTTGGGGAAGCTGTCCTGCGTCGTCACCCGCTCTCTCCAGCCCACATTGCACCTGGACTTCCACTGGCCCCCCCTCCAATTGGGGCCGGGGCCTTTCCGCCGCAGCTCGTCGCGGAGGGCCCGTCCGCGCGAGCAGGCGCTGCCCTTTTTTGCGCCCCATCCCGCGCCCTATCTGAACGCGCTGAACAGCTGCATTGCGTCGCTCCAATTGTCCGCGAAGCCGAGCGCCTTGAGGCGCGGTGTTTGCTTCGGCCCAGTGTTCTCCGCCGCCTGGTAGTCGCCGAGCGCATGCAGCTCCTTCCCCTTCTCTTATAGCTCCTGCTTCGCTGCCTTCGTCGCATCCTCGTCAGTTACGTCAATGGCCATGTACTTGTTCAGCATGAGGTCGCGCTCTTCTGCGCATCCTAGTGCATCCGCCACGTGCCCCTCTGCCTTGCTGAAGGCTGCGAAGACACCCCCGTTGTTCTCGATGCCCTCCAACAGTGCCTTTGGCATCTCCTTGGGCCTCTCGATGACCTTGTTCCTCTGGTTGCGTGACTATTTGTTTCACTGGCCCTTCCTCTGCATCTATGATCGCCATCGCTGCCTCGGTCTACCCCAAGGATGGAGCTGCCCACGCGATGCCTTCAAGTTCCCCCTTTTGCTCGCGGTGCACTTGTTCCTTCGCGATGCACTGGTCTCCTCCACGGCAAAGCTTCTCCTCGTCACTCCACTCGATCCACTCCTCCTGCCTAGGCGCCAGCTCGCAGTCGATGCGCGCCCTCTTCCACTGGCTTCCTTTTCCCTCGTGGTCTTTATCATGTCCTGGCTCGTTCTCGGCGTGCCCCCCGTGGCTCTCAATCATCCTGCAGTGCCCGGGCCCCTCGCCGCATCGGCCGCATGGCCAAAGCTCGTCGCTGCTGGCGAAGGCCACGGGCAGCCTCCTGCGCCCTGCACTCCGAGATATCCCCGCTCGTGCCCAGTGCGCAGCCGGGCCGCTGTTGAGCCAGTTGGGCCGCGGGGGCCGAACGTGATCGATGGGGGCAGATGGGTCGCGCCCAGCGGTTCCAAGGATGTCTCATAATACTCTGGAGTCGGGCCCCACTCCCCAACCCCCCCACCCACCCACCCGCCCACCCACCCCACCACCGCCGCCAACCCATCACCGACCAAGACTCACCCCTACATTGTGCACATGATGCCTGCAAAGTACGCAAGATCCCCCAGACACGCCGCATCTCCGCAACTGTAAACAGGAAAAGGGGAAGAGATTTAGACATGTCGCGTCGTCACAAATGATGACGCGGGCTACTGACCGGGACGGGAGGTCCGGTTGCTGCCTGGGAGGCCTCTTCCCAAGGCGTTTCTCTGCAACGCCGCCCCCCGTTCAGCTCGAAACTCCAGGGCCATCTGGCATGCCTTGCCACTTGGGGGGGCATGAGTCTGAGCTTGGCGAGGCGATCTACATCCATGCTGATTGCATCCGCTATCTTTTCCTCGTCTGAAAGATGCCGTCTCGCTCGCGCGCCGTTGGGCGCCCCTGCTAGGCCGGCTGCCCTGGGGGGGGGGGGCCTCTCGATGGGGCGGCGCCCTCAAAGCTCAGAGCCGACGCCTTCGGAGAGGGGGCCTCGAAAGTACTTGCCCGCGTCAGCCGCAGCCCGGCACTCTGCCCCGGGGTCTTGCCGCTGCGAGATATCCTCGCACATGCAATCCCCCCCCCCCCCCCCCCCCCCCACTCTCAGCGGCGCCGACGCTGGAGCTCTCGCTCCACCGCCCACTCCAACTCCATCTCGGGCGCCGCCGACTGAGACTCCTTGCCGCCCACGAGCGCGATCAGCACCCCCACTGCCTGCTTCAGGTCGCGCGTCGGGAACTTGTCTAGCTTCGCCATGGTCCCCTCGTCCGTGTCCTTCGGGAGCGCCGCTCGGAAGTTGGGGGCCTCGTTGATGCAGATCTGAATATTGCCCGTGCCCCCCTTCCCAGAACTGCGGCTCGTCCTCGTTCGGGCCCCCGTTCTTGCTGTTGCGGGCCTGGTAGCTCTCGCGGACCCTGCGCAGCTTGATCGCCCCCGCGACCACGGCTTGGCTGTAGGCGTTGCTGCCGTCCGCCAGCGTCAGGGCGTCAGTCGTTCGGCGCGCCCATCGCCCAACTCATCGATGCTGCCCCCGCGTCTATGATCGCCTTCGCTGCCGCGGTCTGCCCCGGGGATTGAGCTGCCCACGCGACGCCTTCAAGTTCTCCCTTCTGCTCGCGGTGCACTTGTTCCTTCGCGATGAACTGGTCTCCTCCATGGCGAAGCTTCTCCTCGTCACCCCACTCGATCCACTCCTCCTGCCTGGGCGCCAGCTCGCAGTCGATGCACGCCCTCTTCCACTGGCTTCCTTTTCCTCCGTGCTATGTCCTGGTTCGTTCTTGGCGCGCTCTCTGCGGCTCTCGATCATCCTGCAATGCCCGGACCCCTCGCCGCATCGGCCACATGGCCAAAGCTCGTCGCTGCCGGCGAAGGCCACGGGCAGCCTCCTGCGCCCCGCACTCCAAGATATTCCCGCTCGTGCCAGTGCGCAGCCGGGCCGCTGTTGAGCCAGATGGGCCGTGGAGGCCAAACGTGATCGACGGGGGCAAATGGGTCGCGTCCAGCGGTTCCAAGGATGTCTCATAATACTCTGGAGTCGGGCCCCACTCTCCCCCCCCCACCCCACCCCACCCCACCCCCACCCACTCATCGCTACATTGTGTATATGATGCCTGTAAAATATGCAAGATCCACCAGAAACGCGCATCTCCGCAACTTTGAAGGAGCTGAAATGAAAGATCTAGACATGTCGCGTCGTCACAAATGATGACGTGGGCTACTGACCGGGACGGGAGGTCCGGTTGCTGCCTGGGAGGCCTCTTCCCAAAGCGTTTCTCTGCAACGCGGCCCCCCGTTCAGCTCGAAACTCTTGGGCCATCTGGCACGCCCTGCCATTTGGGGGGCATGAGTCTGAGCTTGGCGAGGCGCTCTATATCCATGCTGATTGCCTCCGCTATCTTTTCCTCGTCTGAAAGATGCCGCCTCGCTTGCCCGCCGCAGGGCGCCCCCGCAGGGCCGATCTGCCCTGGGGGGGGGGGCCTCTCGAGGGGCGGCGCCCTCAAAGCTCAGAGCCGACGCCTTCGGAGAGGGGGCCTCGAAAGTACTTGTCCGCGTCAGCCGCAGCCTGGCACTCTGCCCCGGGGTCTTGCCGCTCCGAGATATCCTCGCAAATGCAACCACCCCCTTCCCTCTCAGCGGCGCCGACGCTGGAGCTCTCGCCCCGCCGCCCACTCCAACTCCATCTTGGGCGCCGCCGACTGAGACCCCTTGCCGCCCACGAACGCGATCAGCACCCCCACTGCCTGCTTCAGGTCGCGGCCCTGGAACTCGCCTAGCTGCGCCATGCCCCCTCGCCCGCGCCCTTCGGGAGCGCCGCTCGGAAGTTGGGGGCCTCGTTGATCAGATCTGAATATTGCCCGTGCCCCCCTTCCCAGAACTGCTGCTCGTCCTCGTTCGGGCCCCCGTTCTTGCTGTCGCGGGCCTCGTAGCTCTCGCTAACCCTGCGCAGCCTGATCGCCCCCGCGACCGCGGCTTGGCCGTAGGCGTTGTTGCCGTCCGCCATCGTCAGGAAGTCGTTCAGCGTGTCCATCGCCCAACCCATCGATGCTGTCACTGATGTGGCATCGTCTTCCTGCCATTCCGTCACTGCCACTTGGGTGCCTTCTATGAATGCCAGCCCCGCGTGGGCGCCCGGTGGCGTGAGCAAGTGCCCCTTGCCCCTCTCCCTGACTAGGTTCCAGCAGCAGTGGTCCGCTGTCATCGACTTCCGAAACGCCCAATTGCTGACTGGCACGAGGTAGAAATCCGTAGCCATATGGTTCATCTCTCTCATCTCTGCCGCTGAGCGGAGGGCCAGGCGCCGAAGTCCGCTGATGCGCCCCCTGAGGTCGGGCTCCTCGTAATCTTCCGCTGCTAGGGGTTGCCTGCGGGGGGGGCCCGCGCCCCCCCCCCCCCGCCCTTGCCCCCCCCGCCGCCGCGGCCGCGGCCGATGGCGCCTCCCATGCTGCCTCGGCGCTGGCCGCGCCCATTGCCCACTGGCCCTTGCCCCCCCCCTCGCCGCCCCGGCAGCGCTTCGCCCCCCCGCCCATCTCTGCTTCGGCCCCTCGCTTGGGAGGAGGCAGTCGCCAGGGGGCGCTCGCCATCTCTTGGAAGCAATGCGTCGTGGGGCCCTGGATGGCGGCAGCGGGCGCGCATCTGCAACTTCCCGAGAGATTGAACCTAAAAGTCGCAGAGAGAGCAGACGAGGACAGAGGGCTCGATCGCATTTCCCCCGCAGCGAACGAGCTCATGCACCATGGGCATTGGTTGGTTACCAATAGGCTGGGGATCAGCGGCTGGCAGTTGCGCACCGCCCTCCTGCGCGCCGCAAGCGGCGCCGCCGATGTAAACTGCGCCCCGCGCACCTGTCCCTCAGCACCCGCCCCCCAGTCGCACCGATAAGGAACAAAGAGATCGCCCTCGCCTGGCACATGTGGTAATCAAGCATCCTAAGTATGCCCTGCATGTCGCGGCATGCTGGGGTCGTCCCAATCCGCGCTGCCCAGCCCCTTGCACCACTTCGGAACACGGAGATGTCTGAGCGCCCCTGCGGGCACCAGCTTGCCACGCCCCCCTGATGCCCGCCAGCGCTTGAAAGTCCATGGCCACCTGCTTCGCCCAAGGTGTAGACGCCACGCGCACTCTTCCATCATCCAATCTCCTGGCTCCGCAGAGGTGGCCCAGCTTCGACGTTCCGGATATTGCCCAGCGCACTGCCAGAGTCCCCTGGATGCCGTCGTAGCCAACGGATCTGCAAATCAATAGCGCAGCGAGGTATTCTCCACCTCTTGAAAAACTCCCCGTTGGGGTAGCATCTAGTCGATCCATCCTCTAGAGTCCAGCTCGCTCTGCCCCCCTGTCACCTTTTCCAATGGTATCGCCGCGGGGCGGTCTAGCGCGTCGCAGCGACGGCCCCCCAGCGCAAATGCCAACAACCCACTTAGGCCCGCCCCAAATACGAATGCCTGAAACATGTGTTTTAAGTTTTTTGTTTGAAAAATGTCCGAAATATCTGAAGACCAGACGCAACCGGATTGTCTGTAGGCTATCTGCATGGCCTCGCATCTCCCCCTGATTTCCCACGCATCGCCTTGGGCCCCTGGCAAGTAGGGGCCCTCGTGCTCGCATCTCCGTCACCGGCATGCCTGTGGGCCGTCCTGCCCTCCGCAGCTGTCGCGCGATCCTGTCGCGCCCTGGACCTCGGAGAGAAACCAGATGGTTAGTTCTGGCTGGATGGGGGCCCCATCCTCCCCGGGCCAACTTGCGCTCCAGGCGCTCCGTGGCGGGTTGGTCTGCTCCGCGAATCTGCTCGCCTGAGACCAGCCCCCCCCCCCCCCTTCCTAGTTGGCGTTTCCCGACGAGCCGGGATATCCTGGCCTCCGCCGAAAGCTGGCTAGCGCTCCGAGATTTCCTCTCCAAATCCAGTCTGCTCCTGCGTCTGGGAGGGCGGGCCCATCGACGCCGCTGCGCGAATATTGGCGGTGTAGTCCATGAACGCATTGAGCGAGAGATCGCGCTCCCTCTCCGCCGCAGGGTTCATCGCGTCGCGTACTGTCTGCATCTCGGCCCCCCCCCTCTCGCCCGGGCGCCATTGCCCCACGTGGAGATTGCAAGAATCCTTGAATTGCCACGGCGCCGGGCAAATCGCATCTGCGCCCCCTGCGCGGTCAGCGCGTGGACCCAGTCGCCAGCGCATCCCATGCTCATCTGAGCACAGTTAGTCGCCCCGATAGCAAAGGGTAGGTCCTCCTCCCACGACGTCGCGAAGACCGATGCCAGCGGGGGTTTGCGCTCAGTGCTCGCGAAGGCGTTGGTGCAGTCGCAGTTGCTTGCGACGGCGCTCGCGCCTGGCTGTCTCGCTCTCCATCGCGTAGCTTCGACGCAGGCAATCGCGCTATCCCATGACCTGTCCAGAAGCCCGCCTTGCGCCCAGCAAGGGTGTCATGCGACTTTTTCTTTGTAACGCACCCCCTTGTGCAATGGAAAGCCGCCCCAATTGAGCATTGCGCGCGCGTGACTCTCTTGCCACCAACGCCTTGTTTGCCATTGCCCTTCTCCGCCGAAAAAGTGGTCGACCCGTGCCAATCCAACGGCGTGGCCTGGGACTGGCGGCACTTTATACGGACGTCCTCCAGCTTGTTCCTGCGCTCCAGACTTTCGTCGGCATCCGTCGCTGTCGACGCCGGTCCAGCTTTCCCATGTCTCCCCAAGTGGCACGCTTGTCTCTCGCTGGCCCGCAGCGCCTCCGCATCGCCAGCTCTTTCTGCCCGACCCTGCCCCCCATCCCATCCTCTGTGGCATCGCCCAGCCTACTTTGCACTTGTGTAGCGAGCTGTACGCGGCCAGGTCCTCCTCGCCCTCGCGAAGCCCCACTGCTCGAATCCCCTGCCCCTCCAGCCTCTTGCCCAGATGCTCGGGCCCCTTCAGGTTGACGGCGAGATCCAAAATCACCCATGTAAAGTCCACTGGGGTGCCCCATGGGGGAAACGCCCTCCTTTTGCCGCGCCCTTGCAATGCGTTAGCATGCCCCCTGTTGCCCCTCTCCACCTGCGCCTTCAAGTCCCCAATGGTAGCGGCACATTCTCGGCGATCATCTCGTCGCGCTCCTGCTCGCGCCCCCCTAAGTCCAGCGGCGCCGCTGCCGGGCCCCCGTCGCGGGGGCGCTTCCCCAATTATCTTGAAAATTCCTCTGTGCCCCACCAGGTGCGCGCTGAAGAGTAGCGCGTCATCTTTGGCCCTCTCCTATTCCTCTGGCATTGAATGCGTAGTCGATGCATCTCCCTGAGGTTATTGTTCCAGCGCGCCCCCCCGATGTCCTCGGCCAGCGTTTTTTTCTCGCGGCTTCCAGGTCGGCTCCACGCTGCCGAAACGCGTTTTGCATCTGCGCCGACTCCTCCGCGACCCCCACCGGCCTCTCTTTCGTTTCTGATTCAACCGTGCCCACTCTATATCGCACCCGTTCCGCCACTCGGGATCGTCGCAATAGCTGAGGGTCTGCCACTCCATGGCCCTCCTGCGTCTTCTTGGCTGAGAAGATCTCCTTCCTCGCTTTCCCCCCCGCCTCACCCCAGCTCTTCCGCGCCTGGTCTGCTGTAGGTCGGTCTTGAAGCCCCCCCCAATCTTCCTCTGCACTTCGCTCACAAGGGTCCGCACTCCGAGATATCCCCGCTAGTGCTTCTCCTGGAAGCGACGCAGTTCCTTCCTGCATCGCACTCCGAGATATCCCCGCTACCGCTTCCCCCGGCGGCTGGACTGCCGCTGACTTCACGCCGCAGTCGAATGCCCCCAAAAATTATGTTCGGAAGCGCCCCTTGCCCACACACGCGATCAACATATTTGAAGGGGCCCTGGGACACACAAATAAATACACACAAATAAAAGGATTCCCCATATGTTTTCCATATTTTCTGGGTTTTTGTCTTCCCCCCCACTTCCCATATTTTCCCATATGTTCTTGAGAATCGGCGATTAATTGTGTCTGTGTGTTTTTTCCCCTCCTGAATATTGCGGTCCAGATATGTGTCTGCCCTCTGCTGCCTGCGCTTGCTCGAGACATGAAAGCGATGTTCCAATCCGATGCGAAGGCCCAATGGGAAGTGGTCTCGGCGCACTCTCGCTTTGATTGTTTGAAGCTGTTTGGCCACGCCTTTCAAGGCTGCGCACCTTCGCTTGTGCGGGAGAGCACCTGCTGGTAACACAACGTGGTCGATCTTGCCCGTCCACATCTTATCGTCTTTGACGCAGTAGTAAGCTGGCCCACGTTCATAAAACGTCGCGACCACTGGCAAAAGGCTGTGGGCGCAACAATTCCTGAATGCTGCTCCAGTGTCGTTCTCCACCTCTTTTCCCGCCGGCCCCAATGATGCTGCACGTTTGCCCGAACAGCGCCTGCTTACCACCAACTCCATGTTTTCCGCCCTGTGCATGTTAAGTTGGCTGTTGATGCCCCCGCCCCACACAAAGATAGTAGATCTGCCACCAGTCTCGTCACACTTCTCCTCCACCCATCTCATGATTGTTTTGGAAATCATTTCGTGGTTGGTGCGCCCTTTACGTCGCAAATAGTGTGACATCGTACGCATTCGTACGGAATCTCACCCCTGTTGTTCTCCGTTGTAGTTTAGCCACTGGGATGTACTGCGCGTCGACCGCCCTGTCCTTCACTATCTCGTGGGACACCATTAACGTCGTACCACATGCGTTAGTATTCCATGTCCCTTCCCTTGCCCCAAACTGCAGTGCCACATGGTATCTCTGATTTGTCTGATGTATCGGTTCTGGCCCTGCCCACTGATGCGTCCATGTCAGCACAATCACATCCCACTCCCGAAGTGCACTGCTAATCTCTTCCAGTCTGTCCGTGGTATTCGCCGCCAGCGGGTTGTAGAATACCACGATGCAACCGCCATCCGTCCATCATGCCCCCCCGCTCCCTCTCTGGCCCGTGAAAGTGTGGGGCGGTAGCCGTGCGAGTGAATTGCAATGGTAATCCTCCCTCCGTCGGGGCTCCAAGTGCCTGAGCCTCCAAAGCCGGCTGCTTGGAGGAGGAGGAGGAGGAGGAGAAGGAGGAGCGAGACAATGTTGCTGAGTGGGCTGGTCACGAAGACGACGGTGGTAGTGGTCATGATGGTGGTGGTGATGTTGATGTTGAGGCGTCCTGGAAGCGGTTCGCCCAAACACCTGAACATTCGAAATAAGACGTAGCTTGCCCGAGCCGAACCCCAAGAAGTCATTGGAGCTTGTGCGGCCTATCATAATTGTGGCTCCTCTGGTACAGAATTTGCACAGCTGGACGGCGAGCAAGATCCAGCATTTGGAGCCGTGTGAGTCGAAAACAGCTGGGCCCCCCAGAGCGAGGAAGAGCCGCAGCAGGAGCAGGATGATGATGATGATGATGATGATGATGATGATGATGATGATGATGATGATGATTATGATGATGATTATGATTATGAGCATGATGCGGATGTTAAAATCAATCATACTGATGATGATGATGATGATGACGATGATGATGAACATGATGATGACGACGATGATGATGATGATGATGATGATGATGGCGGTGATGATGATGATGATGATGATGATGACGATGATGATGATGATGATGCTGATGATGATGATGATGATGATGATGATGATGATGGTGATGATGATGATGATGGTGATGATGATGAGTATGATGAGTACGACGAGTATACTGGGCATGATGATGCGAATCCCACCAGCCATCTGGGCGTCGGTGGTTTAGGGAGGTTCCTCGTCCACCCCTCCTGCTTCCCCTTCGGGGAGGGGCTTATCCCTCCCCCATACCCCCTCCCCATGGACCTGGACAGGGGGACCTGGACAGGGGGGTTCGCGAGGTGTCGGAGCGTCCAAAACGGCCTCGGGGAGGAAGCCAAACTCATTGGTGTTACTAAGGTGTTGGCCCCAGTTTGGCCTCCTGAGGGGGGACCCTAATTAGTGCCCAACCCTTCCTGTGATCGATCTTACCCAAGATGGCCCAAAGATGGCTCCCAAGGGTGCCCCAAGAGGGCCCCAAGAGGTGGCCAGGAAGCCCCAAGAGGCCCCCAGGATGCCCCCAAGAGGCTCCCAAGAGACCCCCAAGAGGCCTCAAGAGACCCCCCAGAGGCACCCAAGATGCTTCAAGAGGCCTCGGCGAGAATGCCAAATCACTGATTGCACGAATGGTTTAGCCACATGCTGGCCTCTTGGGGGGGGGGGCTGCTTAAGATGACTCCAAGAGCGCCTGGGAGAGCCCACGATGACCTCCAAGATGGCTCAAGATATCCCAAGATGTCTCATAATGGCTGCCAAGATGCCCCAAGATGCCCCAAGACCGCTCCAAGACGGCTCCCAGTGGCCAAAGAGCTCCCCCAGGAGGCCCCGACGAGGCCAACACCTTAGGAAATTCTATGTCTGTGGCTTTCTCGCCGTTTCGCTTCCGATGGCCATCCGAGGCCTCAAGATGGTTCCACAATGGCCCAAGAGGGCTCCAAGACAGGCTCCAGAGAGCCCCAATACGGCCCCAAGAGCGCATAAGAGCGCTCCAAGAGCGACCCTAGAGCGCCCCAAGAGCGCCCCAAGAGCGCCCTAAGAGGCGATTGGTTGGGCTCCCGAGGGGCAACGCTAACTAATGTTCGCTTCTTGTGTGATCGATGTCCCCCAAGATGGCCTCAAGAGCGCTCCCAAGGCTCCCGAGAGCGCGTCAAGAGGGCCCCAAGAGGCGTCCAAGAGGCCCCAACAGGCGCCCAAGAGGCCTCCAAGATGCTCTCAAGAGAACCCCAAGAGGCCCCAAGAAGCTCTCCGAGGCACCCAAGACGCTCCAAGAGGCCTTCACTGGGGGATCCTTTCCCTGTGTGCTGCCCAATTCCCTGATCGAGGCAATTCCTCTGGGCATCGTTTCTGGATGGGCTGGTGGGTTTTTTTGGTCGGCGGCTCCCTGGCGAAGGTCAAGAAGCGGGGCAACGAACGGGGCGCGAAACGAAGATAATTGGCCACAGTGGCGTATGCACATGCAAGTGACAAGATGACCCAAATTAGACGCCAAAGACTGGCGCAGGCTGGTGGGGTTACGCGAAGCGTCTAGAATTTTAATAATGATGATGATGATGCTGATAATTATGATGCGAATGATGATGATGATCATGATGATCACGAGAGTGCCACGCGCAGCCAGCATGCGAGAGCGGTGCTGGGGGGCGAGTGGCACGGTCTCGTCTCCTCTCGTGCCACGGGCGAGCGGACGCACGGGGGAAGATGAGGAATCGAATCGAATCGAACGTCCTCAATTCGCTGCCATGGTCAGCACTGAGCTCGCTGAGCGGAATCGAACCGAACCTCCTCAGTCCGAAGCCATGGTCGGCACTGAGCTCCGTGTGCTCTGGGCTCGCAGACAGACAGACAGACCGACCGACCGACCGACAGACAGAGGGAAGGAGAACGAAAAAGAGAGCGCCTCTCCGCGCTCCGATGGGCAATCCCCTGGCAATCTGGCTGTCAGGCGCAGGTGCCTACCAGAGTGCACCTCGACAGCAAGAGAAGAGTGGAAGGAGTGAGAGGGGCGGAGAAGAAAGACGATGAGGAGGGGGAAAAAGGGGAGGGGGGAGGAGCAAAATGTCGGATAAGAATCTGCAGCAGCGTGGTGAGGAAGAAGGGGAGTGGAGAACCTGTAAAAGGAGGAGACGGCCCTAAGCGGCCGACGCCACAAGCAGAAAAAGTCTCTCTGTTAAGAAAGCCAGGAGCCCTGTGGCTGTCATCCTCTCGGAATTAATGTCAAAGATCAAAGAGTAGCATGCACAAGTGCGGATCGATGTGTAGCATTACAGGTGTTCGCTTGATGTCGATATTGCTGGTTATGTTTCTCTTCCTCCTACGCCACACATTGATGCAGCACCACTTAAGGTGCGCTCGTCTTGCGTGGTCTGCTCTTGTAGGCTGAACTTTGGCAAACCCTCCCGCATTGACACACCCCTTGTGTACAACCGAGACGCTCTCGGGGTGTACCTGGGTTGAGTCGGTGGTGGAATCTGACGCGCAGAAGGTGGCAGGTGGTAGTGGCAGTGGAGCTCCGGGGGAGGGTGCCACGATTGGGCCAGTCATGCCACATCGGGCCCCCCGGGGAAGCTATGGAGGCCGAATCTGGAGAGATCGGGGCGCCCACCCGGGGCGAAGAGAGGAGGCATTCGGACGCGCGCGCGGATGTTCTGGCTGTCTTCGCACGCCTCCCCGGGTCACCCGACTTCGCAAATTGCGCGAAAAGCCAGAAAAACGCGCGCATCGTCGGGCTCTCCCGCGACGCCCTCGTGACAGAGGGGCACCCCTCCTGTCCAGGCCGCGAGCGCGCGAGACCTTCGCGAGCCCCACGACGACGACGACGACGACGACGACGACGACAGCGACGACGACGGCGATCAACACACCATCCATGCCCCTGGTCACGCCCCGACCCCACGAGGTGCCAGAGCGGCGGCACGGAGAAGATTCTGGCCTCCAGTGCTACGTTCGCATTATCCATGCCCTGCTTCCCCTGGCGCCCAGAGTGGGAGCAGCAGCAGGGGTATGGATCGAGCGTCGATCGTCGAAAGGGGGATGACGAAGCAACAGGACGAGAGGATCCTTGCTTCCAGACTCCACGAAGCCGCGCAGCAGCACCTCCGCCGCATCCTCGTTCCCGCTGTCGCGGGCCGTCTCCATCGCGTCGCGGTACCTCGTGGGGCGGCTCGGCAGAGGCGAGGTGGGAGATCGGGCAGCAGCAGAAGAGGCAGGAATCGACGTGTGTAAATCCGCCGGCCCCCTTGTGGGGCCACCAGGCTGTAGGCGCGGGATTCGCAGTTTCCTGTACCAGTTGTAGCTTGTAGTTTCCAGTGTTACAGTTCTGCTTCTTGCTGGTTACTGTAACTAAGTGATTGACCGCGCGAGGGAGGGGGAAGCCCAAACGGGATATTTAGCACCTCCTGGGCGCGTTGTCTGAATTGCTGGGGGGCTCGAAATCGACACCCCTCACACAGATCGGCGGGGTCAGGGTCCAAAAACACAGGGGATTTGCCACATTTCTGAAATTCGGTGCCACCCCTCACGCAGATCCGCACATGAGATTTGCCACATTTCTGAAATTCGGTGCCACCCCTCACGCAGATCCGCGAGGTCAGGGTCCAAAAACACAAGGGATTTGCCACATTTCTTAAATTCGGTGCCATTCTTCACGCAGATCCGCGGGGTCAGGGTCCAAAAACACACGGGATTTGCCACATTTCTGAAATTCGGTGCCACCCCTCACGCAGATCCGCGGGGTCAGGGTCCAAAAACGCATGGGATTTGCCACATTTCTGAAATTCGGTGCCACCCCCTCACGCAGATCCGCGGGGTCAGGGTCCAAAAACGCATGGGATTTGCCACATTTCTGAAATTCGGTGCCACCCCTCACGCAGATCCGCGGGGTCAGGGTCCAAAAACACATGGGATTTGCCACATTTCTGAAATTCGGTGCCACCCCTCACGCAGATCCGCGGGGTCAGGGTCCAAAAACACATGGGATTTGCCACATTTCTGAAATTCGGTGCCACCCCTCACGCAGATCCGCGGGGTCAGGGTCCAAAAACACATGGGATTTGCCACATTTCTGAAATTCGGTGCCACCCCTCACGCAGATCCGCGGGGTCAGGGTCCAAAAACACATGGGATTTGCCACATTTCTGAAATTCGGTGCCACCCTTTACGCACATCCATCGCAAGGCGTGGTAACCCAAACTGCGAGAACTCCCTCGGCCCTTTAATCGCAAGGTGTGGTAACCAAGCCCGTAAACCATACACGTCTTACCAATCGCCAGGTGTGGTAACCCCTCTTGTGATCAGTTGGTTTTGCTGATTGCGAATCGGCTTCGCATGAAGTTTCGATACTGCTTCACGACAGCGCCAAGGCCTCATGACTTAGCTCTTCTATGGCCCATTCTCCGAGAGAGGGGGCCGGCGGCAGGGGGCGAAGCCCTTACGGATATACAGACACATACACGTGTACGTAAATTCACGTGTACCTACAAATCTGACTACAGACATCCGCAACAGTGCCTCAAGGCACGTAGTGGCAGTGGGCGTGTCCTCAGGTCATTTGCCTAATCTGACCTGACAAGAACGGGGAGCGAATGTTCAAACGTTCGTTGCAGGTGTGGCAGCACATGGGGACGTCAAAACTGGAACGCTTGTGCGAACAGGAGGGGGCTGCGCGGTGCCCGAGACAAGGATCCCTCGAAAATATACGACGCTCGCGCTCCCGAGGCGCAGATCCCTCGTAAAGTACACGCGATACGCGCCTCCGAGGCCACGACCCATTGCAAAGTACTCTGGGTTCATGCCTCGGCGACCAGGACCCACAGAAGTGCAGCCAAATTCACGCCCTGGAACCGCTATTACTTGTATTGTGCGCAAGCGGTCAGTTACCACGCGGCCCCCGCGTCCACCTTCAAGATCCCGAGCTATCCGCCGTCCCCTTGGGGTTCGGTCCGGCTGGCTTGCAGGGGGGTATCCGGTTAAACGGACTAGATCCCTCACCCCTCCCAAGAATGCACAGGATGCCTCTGGCCGTCTCCGGCCACTCCAAGATGCTCCAAGACGGCCCATTATATTTTGAATACGACCGGCGATAACCCCAAGACGGTCCAAGAGGCCTGTAACATGAAGCCATCTTGGATCCCTCTGCCGCCGTTTTCGGGCCCTCTTGAGCTGTCTTGGGGCTGTGTAACCCGAATTCGGGATAAGGAGATGGAAAACCTAGTGACCCTCGGTCCATCCAGCCACCGTGCCGGGGTATTGAGAATGAGACGAAGTGAAAGTTCGTTGGGCTCTCTTGGGGGGCTTCTCGCGGGCCGTTTTGGGTCCTCTTGGGGCCTCTTTTGGGCCTCTTGGGGGCCTTTTGGGGCGTCTTGGGGGCCTCTCGGGGACCTCTTGGGACCTCTTGGGCGCCTCCTGGGGCCTCCTAGGGCCGTCTTTGGGCGGGATGCTCCGATTTTCAATTCGGGCTCACCCTCTTGGGCCCCTCTTGGGGCCCTCGTGGGCCTTCTTGGGAGCCTCTTGGGCCGTCTTGGCGCCCTCATCGGCCGTCTTGGGCGCCTCTTGAGAGTCTCTTGGGCCGTCGCGGGTCGGTCTTGGGGGACTCTTGGACCGTCTTCGACGCCGTGAAGACGAGAAAATCGTATATACTAAAAAAATACGTTTTCCCATGGGAATTTGACGATTTTGGCCTCTTGGGCCCTCTTGGGGGTGCTCTTGGAGGCCTCTGGGGCAGTCATGCGGGCCACCTGGAGCCGTCCTGTGGCCTTCTAGGGACCCTCTTGGGCGCTCCAAGAGCGATCTGAACACAAAGGCGGCCTGGAGCCAACGCCAACTCCATTTTTTAGAGGATGTCCCGAGCGAAACGGCCAATTTAGAAACCTGACCGCACAAGAACGGGAAGCGCCGTTTTTGCTCATAGCAGTGTTTGTCGTCAAAGCTCTGGACGCCAGCGTTCGTACTGGGAGCTCTGGCGTTCGAAGCTGCCCACGTCATCGTTAGTAATGGAGCCTTGGGATGTCGTGGTCGGTCTCTCGTAGGCCTTTTGGAAGCAATTCTGAAGCCTCTTGGGGGCCGTTTTTTGGGGCCGTCTTGGGGGCATCTTGGGGGCCTTTTTGGGGCCTCTTGGGGGCCTCTTGGAGCGTCTTGGGGGGCTCCCGGGAGCCTCCTGGACCCTCCGGGGGGGCACTTGGGGCCGAGGACCCGAAAAGTCCGTTCGTGTACCTCGTCTGGGCCCCCTCTAGGAGCCATATTGACGGCCTCTTGGGCCGCCGCGAAGCCTCTTGGGGCCGTCTTGGGGCCGCCTTGGGGCCTTCTGGTGCCTTCTTGGGGCCGTCTTGGGGGCCTCTTGGGCCGTCTTGAGGCGACCTTGGGGGCCTCTTGGGCCGTCTTGGGGCGATCTTGGGGGCCTCTTGGGCCGTCTTGGAGCGTGGGGAAACGGAAAAGGCGAGAACCCCAATGGTGGCCGTCTTGGGCGCGTCTTGGTCAGATTTCTTGAGCGGAGTGTCAATTTTTCCGCAATTTTCCGGAATCCGCCAGCGAGGTGCGGGATGCGATCGGTACCCTTCAACGGTGCACTCCGGAGGCGCTTCCCGTCATACCCCTTAGTTAGAGAAAATTAAACCCCTGAACCAACGGTGCACGCCGGAGGCGCTTCGACTTGGGGCCATCTTCGCTTCTCTTGGAGCGCTCTTGGGCTGTCTTGGGGCCTCTTGGGCGCCTCTGGGGCCGTCTTGGAAACCTCTTGCAGCGCTCCGGGGCCGTCGTGGAGGTCTCTGGAGCCGTCCTGGGCCGAAAAAGCCGCCAACTTGGTCCCTGGAGGGTGTGTCGCTCTCCTGGGGCTCTCTTGGGGCTGTCTTGCGGTCCTCTCGGGCCGTTTCGGGGCCCTTTTGGGTCGTGTCGGAGCCTTTGAGGGCTCTTTGGGGCCGTGTTGAAGCCCTCCAGGAACGACTCGAAGATAATGCCGGTTCGGAGTCCCCTCTGGAGCCGATTTTTCGAGGATGTCTCGAGCGAAACGGCCATTTTTCCGCAATTTTCCGGAACCTGACCGCACAAGAACGGGAAGCGCAGTTTTTGCTCATAGCAGTGTTTGTCGTCAAAGCTCTGGACGCCAGCGTTCGTACTGGGAGCTTTGGCGTTCGAAGCTGCCCACGTCATCGTTCATAATGGAGCCTTGGGATGCCGTGGTCGGTCTCTCGTAGGCCTCTTAGAAGCAATTCTGAAGCCTCTTGGGGGCCGTTTTTGGGGGCCGTCTTGGGGGCATCTTAGGGGCCTTTTTGGGGCCTCTTGGGGGCCTCTTGGAGCGTCTTGGGGGGCTCCCGGGGGCCTCCTGGACCCTCCGGGGGGGCACTTGGGGCCGAGGACCCGAAAAGTCCGTTCGTGTACCTCGTCTGGGCCCCCTCTAGGAGCCATATTGACGGCCTCTTGGGCCGCCGCGAAGCCTCTTGGGGCCGTCTTGGGGCCGCCTTGGGGCCTTCTGGTGCCTTCTTGGGGCCGTCTTGGGGGCCTCTTGGGCCGTCTTGAGGCGATCTTGGGGGCCTCTTGGGCCGTCTTGGGGCGATCTTGGGGGCCTCTTGGGCCGTCTTGGAGCGTCGGGAAACGGAAAAGGCGAGAACCCCAAAAACCTTCAAAAACTATTCAAAAATCATAGATTTGTGCCTCTTTGGCGCTCTTGTGAGGCCTCTTCGAAGCCTCTTGAGGCGTCTTGGAGGCCTCTTGAGGGCCTCCTGGGCCGTCTTGGAGCTCTCTTGGACCGTCTGGAAGCCATCTTAGGGCATCTTGGAACGCTCTAGGGCGGTCTTGGAGCGCTCTTGGGCCGTCTTGGAGCCCTGGTGGCCGTCTTGGGCGCGTCTTGGTCAGATTTTTTGAGCGGAGTGACAATTTTTCCGCAATTTTCCAGAACCTGACCGGACAAGAACGGGAAACGCCGTTTTTTTATCCACCACGTGCGTCAGAGACCGTATTGGCGAGAACGTCAGAGAAACCCATGAACGCAACAGAACAGACTAAATGATGGCCTGCCGCGCTGGTCTGTCGAGGTAGTCTGCTGCCCTGGCCACATCATGGTGTCGACACCGTGCTTGTCTCTCGGCCACGCGGGCCCCCACCCGTTGTCGCCCAGCCTACTTTTTCTGTTCCAGCCTGTCTTGTCTTTTGTTTGTCCGT